TCTAAATTGCAAACAAGCTGAATATGCTGTCAAAAAATATAAATCACATCGCAGCATCCCTAATTCAATACTCTCAGACTTGAAAATATTAAATAAATTTAATGTTCTATTTTTAGTATGATCTGCAATAAAAAATTTGGCCATATTATAGTTGGAGTTGATGATTTATTGTGGCACACACTGTAGCTCTTGAAGTCCAGAGAAGTGAAACATATTGATTACAACTTTTGTTAATATTTTATGAAGGTGAAGGAATAAGACCAGGCTTCCCTAACAATGCTTTTGAATTTTATGTTGAATTATCATACAAGTGTATAGATGCTGATCCAGATAATGTCAAGAAATTCACAAGTTTCATTTGATGATTATTTAATTAAATTAAAAAACTGTGATATTTGTAATATGAATTCTAAAGAACAGCTTGATAAATTAAATTCTATTAGAAAAACACATGACAAATGGAATTCGATTACAACAACAGAACATCCAAATATTGTTCTACAAAAACTCATGGATCTTTCTCAACCTGTTAATTCCCAATTTTTTATAGATTCTCAAGTTGTAATTAAATTTTTATTGCTTTAATTGACGAAAATTAGAAATATACAACAAATATTTTTTATATTCATTAGATTCAAAAAATTTAATTTTTTTTTTTCAAAGAATTTTTCTCAAGATGTAATTCATGTCACTGGTTATACAAAATAAATAATAAATTTTTCTTTGAATCAAAGACCCGATTTATTTAATCTGCAAAAAAAAAAAAACAAATATAATAATAATTAATTTCTTAAAGGAAATTTAGAAAATTTACCTAATTTAATAATCATTAATTTTCTTGACTAATTTATAGATTTCAAACTCTTCTAAAAAATGAATGCTGTTGATCTGATTTGTAAGATTCAAATTATATTTATAAGCATTATCATCAGAATCACCATAATATAAGTAACGACAATAAGGATTATTATCAATACTGTTACATAATCCCAAATCACCAAAATTTATAGAAAATCCACAAAATTCCATATCATCTACAATGAAATTAAAATTTTGTCGATCATGATATATTGCAAATTCAGGATCTTTGACTTTACTCAAGATTGAAAAGGCTGCTTGCTTTTCATCAATCTTAAAAATAAAACTTTCATCAGTTTTAATCCAATATTCATCATTTGGAGCTTTTTCTTTTATATTCCAACAAACTGGATTATAGCCCCCAACCAGCTCGCCTGTTTCTTTAATTTTCATGATGACTATAGTTTGTTCAATATTATAACATTTATCCTCAAATACTGATCTAGTACATCCATCTTGACTTCCACATTGAACCAATTTAAATTCATAACGTGGTTCATATATGTCGTACGTTTCATCAATCCAACTAGAAATTAGAATCTTTATTTCTAAATTTAATAATTTTCCTTTTGTTCTTGGATATTTTTGAAGAATTAATCTTGGTTGCCATTTATTAGTAATATGATATTGAAGAAGTTCTTCGTATATTTTCTTATCAATTATTGCTTTATAAGGTTTGATTTTTTCATGAAAATCAGATGATGGTATCCCATAAAATCTAATAATTGGAACAATATCATCCAATAAAGTTTTGAATGCAGTGATGTCATCTTTATTCCATTCTGAAATATTTTTTTCATCCAAATTTTCAAATTGTCCCACTCCCCATTGAATAATGTATTCCCAAGTATCTATTTCCTCTACTTCTAAATCATCTCTACTCAATATAGAGATAAGCATTGATTTTTCAAATAAAGAAATGTCATCAGATTTTAAAAACAATACCGGATTATTGTGAAACACTTCCTTACAATATTCTTGAAGTAAACGGAATGATTGATGTTTAGATGATATTTGATTAAGATGTACTAAATTATGTTGAATCCATTCTTTTTCATCTTTGAATAAATGATTTTGCAAATTGTCAATTAGTTCATTAAAATCTAATTCATCGCATGCTTCAAGAAGTTCAAGTATTTCAAATGAATTCAAATTATCAATATTGACAATTCCATTGTAAATGTATCTTTTAAAAATAAATAAATGAACGAACAGAACAAAATAAAAATAAAATAAATAATTTTAGAGTATTGATATGTATATATTGTTTAGTTATTTAAAATAAAATGATTATTATATAATAATGAATTTAGTTAATTAATTAACAAAATAAATTATTCTTACGTTAAAAGAACTTCAAATACTTTTGGAGAAATGTTTTCTTTTTCAAATAAAATAATACCATCTTCAGATCGTTTTACCCAATTGTTTGATAAAGCTACTTTAAAATAAGAAGATCTTGCTTTCAAAATATTGGAATGAGCTTTAAAGGTTTTAAAATCTTGTTCTACTCCAACTTTAATTTCTACATCATAATAGTCGGATTCATACAATAATTTTGTTAAATCATTGACAAGTTTGCTAATATGTTTCAGCGGCAAAGTATTCTTGTTGGCCTTTGTAATTTTGTTGATTAGCATGTTTAAATTTTCCAAGGACGAAAAGCCGTTATAGTTATACATCTTGAAGAATTTTTTTTTTGAAAAAAAAAAATTTTAGGAGTCAAGAAGTATATATTTAAGGGGGAAGGGAGAAAAAAATTTTTATCAATCTTTTCATATGTCACGTGCATTCAATTTTTTTATAAATACAATTTTTTAATAATGATAATAATTAACCAAACATCCATAAAATAATTATACAACCATGAATCGTATTAATAAAATGCAAGCATGCAAAACTTTAACATAAACAAAAAAATCAACAAATGAATGAATGAATGAATAAATAAATAAATAAATAAATAGATAAATAAATAAGACCCAATCATTTCTTTTTGTCATCGGAAAATCCTTCAGGCGGACCATCATATGCTGGCGGAGCATCATCGGGAAGTTGAGAAGCTACGTAGAAACCACCAGTAAATTGACCTTGTTGTTGGCCTTCTCCTTGTGGAGGTTGTTGTTGTGGAGGTGGTGGAATGGGCCCATAACTCATTTGTTGCTGTTGTTGGAATCCATATGGTATTGATTGAGCAGGATGAGGACCTTGACCGTAATAAGATTGTTGAGGTTGATAAAAAGGCTGTTGATAAAATTGTTGACCACCATACATGGTATTTTGATGCAAAGGTGGAGAAGATACATTTCCGAAACCTTGTTGAAATTGAGGTCCTATAGTTTGGAGAGAGTTTTGATTTTCTGATTGTGGGTTTGATGAAGGTGGCGAATTGCTAGTTGCAGAACTAGGAGACAAATCATTACTAGATGCTGATAAAGTTTTATTTGTAAGACTACGATTAAGTATTGGAGATGATAATTCTGGAATTTGTGAAGAGGTTATATTTAAATTAGATAGTTGATTTTTTATTCCAGAAATATCATCTTCTAGTTTATTAATCTTCTTATCTTTCTCTTCAGTTGTAGAAGATTTGGATTTCAATGCATCCTCCAAATCTTTTACCAAATTGGTTAATTTTTCTTTTTCAGTTACAACACTATTGACATCACCTTGAAGTTTAGCAATAAGTGCATCTCGTTCACTTAGAGCAACTTCATATTCATGTTTTTCAGTAATTATATTGTTGTATTGTTTTAACTGTGAATCGTACTGTTTCCTTTGAGCACCTAATGAAATACTTAATTGATTAATTTGTTCTTCGTGTGATTTAAGATCAGAGGCATGTTTTGCATCAAGTTCTTGGTTTTGAGCACTAAGTGCATTCAATTTACTAGTCAATTCATTGACTTTAGCCTCGGAACTCTGTCTATTGGAATTTAACGCATTGGATATTTCATTCAATTGTTCTTCATATGCTCTCTTTTGTTCAGTTAATGCATTTGCATAGTCATGGATTTGTTTTTCATATTCTTGTCTATTAGTTTCTAAATTGCTAGCAAATTCAGTTACTGCAATGTCATGTTCATCTTTCAAGGTCTTCATAGAATTGGTCAGTTGATTCAATTTAGCTTCATATTCTTGTTTTTGAGCTGCTAATACTGCGGAAGCAGTATTTGTTAATCCAGGTATAAGTGGTTTAATGTCATATTGTGGTTCTTGCCAACGATGTAAAGCAATTTGACAATCCTTAAGAATTTGTGCAGTAGCCTGATAACCTTAGTACGAAATATAAATAAATAAATTTTATTCATTATTTTAATTGTAATAGGAAAGACACATTACTATAAAAATAAAAATAAAAATATTCAATTAGTTGAAAATACCATTGTATTGTGGCCTTCCTTCACCAGGAAGTTCTTTATGTGAATCAATATGCGACAAAAGGTCCCATCCAAATCCACTAATAAGTGCAATTTTTTCAGCAGCCTCAAAAGTCGCACCTAGATATGAGATCATAGAATCTTTCAATTTTCTTCTTTTAAGATTTCCAACATCTGCTTCATCTGCAGTACAATCTAGTTTTACACGACGCAAATCTTCTTCAAGTTCTTTAATGCGTGGAGATTTTGGATGCGATTTCAATATTTTTGCTCTCTCTTCATTAATTTTTCTTGTTCTTTCTCTTGGCACAATAAGACGTTCTTCAGCTTCACGAATTTCTTTAAGAATTTTTCGATGTTGCTCAAGTTTTTCTGAACATTTATTTTGTTTAGATAAAAAAATTAAAATAATTTACTATTATTATTATTAAAATCAACATATTTATATATTTGATTTTTTTTTTACCAGTTAAAACTATTTCAACATCTGCAACTCTATTCAATAATTCTGATAATTTCTCAGTTACATCCTATATTAAAACAAATGGAAACAAAAATTCTGATTAATAATAATGTTGTTGTCATTGTTATTATTAATATTATTACATACAGCAATATCATTCCCGCTATCTTTTCCCCAAATAGCAAGACATTTGCTTGCTAATATTCATAGAGTTTGTAAAAAGAATTTGTTTAGAAATAATAAAAAAAACCTTTAAATTAAAAATAAAATAGTCCTTCTTTATTACCTCCTTTTCTTTCATTTGAAGCATTTTGTAGACTTATAATTAAATTTTTTTCTTCTTTTATCCAAAGTGCAATATTTTTTATATCAATAGGTAGTCTAGGGTCTATCTTTGTAAAGTTTCTTCTAACATCATTGGGCAAACTTTCAAGTTTAACGCCGGTCCAAGACTCTAACATTGTTGGTTGTCGTCCTTCATGACTACCAGGAGTACTAAGGTTACTCATTTGAAAATTTTTTATTCAGAATTAACAAGAATTAAAATTAATGTTTGTTGTAGTAAAAAGTACTTTGATGTGTAACTAAGTTTTGTTTCACCAATCTGGGCATACAAAGTGAACAATTTGGGGGTCAAATTTAGTAATGAATGATTTTTAGCATCAATGGACAAGTGAGTGATATTTTAAAATGGTAGCCTACTATTGTTTTTTTCTCTCATTCTTTTTTCATCTTTGAAAAATAAGTAGAGAATGATTCCAATGTGGGGGGGAGATACTATCAATTATTGAAAGTCAATGATTCTTTTCAGAGGAAACCCGAACTCCCCCCTTAATATTCTTGAGCAGCCTTTTGAAAGTCTTCATCTTTTAAATCAGAAACAATGGTTTTGACATTATTATTGCTCTTTTATCCAGATAAGCGGGAAAAATTATAACGGTACCAGAATTTGCATTTAAATTTGGCAAAAAAAGATGCTGGATGTTGGGCGAAATTAGGTTTTAATTCTGGTAAACCGTGATATAACGGCCCGTTACTATTATAATTACGTAACATTTAAAATATCTAATACTAATATCTACTAATCATTGACTCGCAAGCAAGCTGGGAATGTTAGCTTGAGCTCGGCTTGACAAAACCCTTCTGGTTATGTTTTTAGCATGATGGGGTTTGATAGTTTTAAAAAACTGATGGTTACACATGACTGAATTTCTATTTTACGGTGACAAATCGTCTGACTGATACAAAACACTGTGCGCTAATGAAATAATAAAACATCATATGTGTTTGTCAATCGATCAATTAAATTATAAAAGGAAAAAAGAAAAAAAACAAAGATTTAAGAGGAAAAGTGGCCGGATAAGTATTTTTACAGGGTGATTGTTTTTACAAACTATTCATTCTAGTTGATCAGATTAAATTTTGCATCTATTCTAAATTTAATTCTCATCTTCAACTTCTACCAATATAAATTTTGTAATTAAATCACATATATTGGTTTCTTTGAATTTTTTTGATAAGATATCATCGCATCATTTACAAAAAATGTCATCATAGCGGAATTTGGTGCGATTCATTGGAAAAGATTGGAGAATTTATATAAATGGATAAGGCTCCGAACGAATCAATGAAGTTCGAACTGATTCGAATCATTATCATTCATTAGCTATTTAGATTTAATGAATTGTGCAACTGTAAATTGGATTACTTTTTTATTAATAATGATGGTGGCCGAAACTACCTTACTTAGTGGGCTGAAATTGCCGAAATTAATTGGCCTAAAACCAATTTTAATGGCTAAAATCGGAAGTTATCTTAAAGTAAAGTAGATTGATTTAAATACTTATTATATGTATTGGCGAAACTACCTTTTTTCAAAATAGTTTCAGCCACCATCACTAAATAATATCCTTTATCAATTAAAAATATACACAATCTTGGTTTAGCAGATAGTTTAAAAAAATCCGTTATTATTATATTAATACAGTCAAGCGGACTATAATTAATTCTTGTCATAACGGGGTTTTAAAATTTTTGCTTCATATATTAATATTAATATATAAAAATCCGTTATGTTGAGAAGAATATCATTATTATTAATTAAACCGAGGTATGCTTAATTTGAGATTCACTGTATAATATAAATTTAATATGACATTAAAAAAAAAATTTTTAGGAATTCGGTTTGATTCAAATCAATTCGAATCGAGTCACGAATCGAATCGAATCGAATTGACTACGAAACACTCTAAAAATTCGATTCGTTTGGAGCCTTAGAAATGGAAATGGAGGCAGTTAATTCATTGGAGCATTCTTTAGAAATATATCAAAAATCTTTAATAGATATCACGAGCAAATAATATACTATCAATACTCAATCAATTAGATATGGCTAGTTCCCCCAAATATTGTTCCCCCAATATTTATATTCTGCCTAACACACGGGACTGACTTCTCACAGGACTTCAAAAATGCCGACACGTGGCTAAAATAAAAATAAAAGAAAGAATATACACATCCTAACTAATAATTAAAGGTTGGCCAGGCCATTAACCATCAGAAAGAGTCATGAATCAATCACACAGACTTTTCTTCTTCAACTATGCAAAAATTCGTAATAAGATAAAACGCATTTTATTATTATTATTATTATTACCAAAGGTTGTCACAGGAAAGTTATTAATCAATCAATCAATTAATTGGTTCTTTAACCCAAACGGTTTCTAAATACTTGGAGTGGTACAGATAATGTGACTTGTACAATTATTCTAATCCAATAATATATGCTAATTCTAAAATAACGTTTAATGACATTCGCCGACTATTTATATCGCTTAAAGTACTCAGATCAGTCACATGAATAAAAGTAATTAATCGTTATTCATAACTATGACGTTCTTCTATTAGTTTTACACTAGCTGTCAAAAGATTCCACAAAGATCTATAATCCTTCAAACTCTATACTATATTTAATTATTCCTTATCGAAGACATAAAATGCCTGAAATTAACGTTTGTTCCATTTGTCAAGAAGAAAAAAAGTCTTAATTCTGAAACTGCTTAATTAAAAGCTGAGAAGGGATGTTATTATGATTTACATTTAAATGATTTAACGTGTTCTAAACGAATGTTATAATAAAATAATACAATTAAAACGCATAAGTCAACTTAAAATGGCTCAGCAGAATTTTTTAAAAAAGGAAATAGAAACTCTTACAATGTACCCAATAAATAAAATGACAGGCAAAGGATTTGTATGTATATATTAATAAATAATTAACATCTTTAGAGGCAGTTAAATTTCCCAAGTATTTTAACTTTTAATGACTACTATCAACGTCATGAAAATAAAGAGCCTATAAATTATTTTGATGAATTTGTCGAAATGATTGAAACAAGAGATCCTGAATTAATTGGTTCTTTTAAGATTATGCAATTTAAAAAAAGATAATGATACTTTGTTATCAAATGGCAAATTTAGGAGTAACTTTGGCAAAAAGAAACATGGTTTATGCAGTTCACACTCTCTATAATGAACCTTCCACCCTTATGTGTAATTTTCTGCTGAAGAGAGAATTAATTATAAAAAACAAAAGGGAAGTTCGTTATAGAGATTTTCACTTAGTATTCATTGTAGATTGTTTTATTATAGAGAGTGTGAGCTGTATTTGTCTAGCTCAAATAATTTAGCATCAACTATAGATACTTTATCAAATTTAGAGTTTACAACTACATATAAAACTGTAGTAAAAGGTCATGAAAAATATTGCCGGAATATGTTTTTATTACAGTTCCAGCGAATCTATCGGTCATTAGACATTTAGGTATGTCGAAGTCTAAATTGATCACATCAAAAGTCCAAATTGATGTTGAAATTCAAGATGCCTAAATGCTATTGAAATAAATACCTAAATATTGTCAAAATGCCATTTATTGAGTGCAGTTCAACTATTTAAACAATATCAAAAATATTTAACCAATATTAAAATCTTATTCATCAAAAATTTAATGGCGTAATAATTAAACAAATTTTACGTTTTTGTTATGTGCTATCTCATGCGTTCTGTAAACTTTGTACAAACGCTGCTCCAAATTCATCTTTATCGAATTCATTATCTTCATTATTATTGCATTCAAATTCCTTAAGGGCAAGTTACATTGTATATATAAAAATTGATGTTTTTAGTGTACATACATTAATCAGCACATTATTGTTATTATTAAATAATTGGTTCTATTCTCAAATTTACTAATTATTGTTGGTAGCTAGACACTTCTAGGCTTTCGACATCAATTTAGGCTTTCTATTTCGATATCTCGACATGTTTCGACATTACGCAAATCAAGTGACCTTGTCGAATATTTTTCGATAGTCGAAACGCCTGAATGTTTGTCAAAACTATATATTTGACTAACAACTCTATCCATTGAACAAGGTTTTGACTGTTGTTTAAAATTATTTTTAAATTGGCCAATCAAAATTATTGATTTTGCGTTACATCAATAGTTCCGAAATTTTAAAACGTAGTAGTAGTAGTAGTAGAAGTATATACGTAACAGTGTATAATAATAAATTCCAGTATGTAACTAATGCAGATTTCTACAAATTTAGAAACTATCTGCAGAAAACTACACAATGTTACAACCGCACATTCCGCACATTGAATTTTATACACTGAGAAGTAATTTATTTTTGTATTGCGCAAAGCGCATTTTAATTCAATTAAAAAAATTTTGGTTATTTTTATTGGTGCAAAACTTCATAGTAACACAAATTAAGGGAAATTATTACTTTTTATGGAAAGGGATTTTAGTTGATATTAATATTTTTTGAATTAATTATAAAAAAAAATTCTCAAGTTTGTAAAAATGACGTATTTCCTTTAACAAAATAAATAAAACCACGTGTCTTTATTTAAATTTTATTTTTAACCTAATCAATATATTAAAATTTTATTTTGTTATTAATAAAAAATAACCACTCAACTGAGAACATTCTTTTTTCTACATTTACATTAATGACTGCCATTAAAATTGATATAATGTCAAACGACAACAATATCAGTAATGGAAACAGTTCATCAGAAATAGACAATTTAAAACGAAGGCATCCAACAAATATAAACGGCTCTCCCTACTCTAAAAATGCTTACCACCCCATTCCTTTAGAACCTTTTGAATATGATGAAAACGGAAAATTTTTAAAACCAATACGTTTACCTCAAAACAAGGTAAACTATATAGATATAAATATATTATTTATTATCAATTGATTTTTTCTTGATCCAAGATTCTCTTAATAATAATAACTTTTTCATTTTCAAAAAAAAAGTATCTTGCATTTTGTTTTGAAAATTATGATATTTTATTGCCCGTATTTTTTACATTTTTATCATTTTGGACAAGATTTTATTTAATTTCATTATCGAATATTGTTGTGTGGGATGAGGTAAGTAAAACATCTTTTAATTATCCATTTACACAAAATTTGATTCAATATTAATACTAATATTTAAATTATTGTTTAATATCATGAAAAGGCTCATTTTGGAAAGGTAAATAAATTTAAAAAAATTAAAACAAAAAAAATTAATTTTCTTTTAAAAATAATGATACTGATCATTCAATCAATAGTTTGGATCATATTACCTTAAAAGGGAATTTTATTTTGATGTCCATCCACCTCTTGGAAAAATGCTTGTTGGTTTAGCAGGTTTATTAGCAGGATATAATGGACATTTTGATTTTCCATCTGGTGAAAAATACCCCGATGATGTAAATTATGTATTTATGAGAGTATTTTTAGCATCTTTTGGTGCTTTGATGACTCCTTTGGCTTATTTTACAGCACTTGAATTGGATTTTTCGTTATATGCTACAATCCTGGTTACTTTGATGGTTTTATTTGGTATATATATATATATCAGAATTTTGTTTAATGATCAACTACAAATTATATGTATTAATGTGAAAAATTATTTTATCCTTATTAGATACCGCTTATGCTTGCATTAGTCGATTTATTCTTTTAGACTCTATGTTATTATTCTTTACATTTGCAACTACATTTTGTTTGGTAAAATTTCACAATATGCGACAAGAGTAAGTAAATAATAATTTTTTTTATTAAAAAAAAAGAAAGATTAAAAAAACTAATAATTTTTTTAAAGACCTTTTTCAATCGATTGGTGGCTTTGGTTATTTTTAACAGGTGCATTCATCGGATGTGTTTCAAGGTTAGTTAATATATTATTATTTATAATAATGATTTATTCCATTGATATAAAATTTTCAATAAAATTTCTTATTAATTAATTATAAAATTACTTCCTAAAAGTGTTAAATGGGTTGGACTTTTTGTTACTGCTTTAGTTGGAATTTACACAATAGAAGATCTTTGGGATAAGTTTGGAGATTTAACTATGCCAAAAGTAACTATAATATATATTAATCGACAGAATGCAAATATTTATCTGATTATTGTTAACATCGAAAAAATTTTATAGATGATTTATCTTAAACATTGGATTGCCAGAATTGTATGTTTGATTATATTGCCAATCCTAATTTATATGGGATGTTTTGCTATACATTTTGCAATTTTACATAATAGTGGACCGGGTGATGCTCAGATGAGTTCTTTGTTTCAAGCAGGTCTTAGAGGAAATGATTTTTCTAATAATCCTTTAGGTAGTTATTATTCTTGAGAAAAAAAAACAAGCGATTTTCTTTTTTTTCTAATTTATAATTTGCTTATTTACGGTTTATATTTCAATGCTACTGCATAAACACAATAATCAATTATTATAGAATTAGCATATGGTTCTAAAATTACCATTAAAAACATGGGTTATGGTGGTGGTCTTTTACATTCACATGTTCAAACATATCCAACAGGATCAGAACAACAGCAAGTCACATGTTATCATTATAAGGATGTAAACAATGATTGGATCGTGAATAAACCAAGAGATAACTTAACAATAAATAATGAGACTGAAATAGAATTTGTTAAAAATAATGACGTTGTAAGATTATTACATGTAAACACAGGTAGAAATTTACACAGCCATCCAGTCAATGCGCCAATTACAAAATCACAATATGAAGTTAGTGGATATGGTAATGATACAATCGGTGACAAGAATGATTATTGGAATATAGAAGTAGTCAGCGATATTTTATATGGCAAAACTGATGATAAAATTAGATCCTTGACGACTGCATTTAGATTTAAACATCATACCCTTGGATGTTATTTAAGAGCTGCTAATTCTATTTTGCCACAATGGGGATTTAAACAGGTCGAAGTTACTTGTGATAAAAGAAACAATCCTAGAGATGTTCATACTCATTGGAATATTGAAAAACATTGGAACGATAAATGTAATATTTACATGTTTATTACAATTTTTTTTTATATTTATCGAATAAATTCTTTTAATATTAATATATATCCATATTTAAAAAAATAAACGATATATAGTGCCACCTGGAAAACAAGCAGTTTATAAGTCAAAATTTTTACATGATTTTTGGCATTTAAATGTAGCAATGTATACAACCAACAATGCACTTGTACCGGATCCTGATAAAGAAGATATTTTAGCATCAACGCCCCGTCAATGGCCAATAGTAGAAGTTGGTTTACGTATGTGTAGTTGGGCAGATGATGCAGTAAAATATTATTTACTTGGTAACCCTATTGTATGGTGGTCGGGCACTGCTTCTTTGATAATTTTTGTGTTTTTATTTGCCTGGTATATTATTAGAGCACAAAGAAAGTATTCAGATTTTTCATCAGGTAATTAATTAATAATTTAGAGTTTTTTTTTTAAAAAAAAAATTATTTATTCTAAATTTTATCTTTTCTTTTTTTTTTTTAGCACAATGGGCACATTTCTTATATGTTGGAAAATTATGTTGTATAGGATGGTTTTTACATTATATACCATTTTGTATTATGGGTAGAGTGACTTATTTACATCATTATTTTCCAGCTTTATATTTTAAGATATTATTAGTAGGATTTTTATTTGATCATTTCACTTCTTCTCTAAAACCAAAAACAAAAGCAATAGTCTTTGGTATAATGTATTTGTTGGTTGTAGGAGTATTTTTGTGGTTTAAAGATATTGTATTTGGTATGGATTATCCTAATAGAGATTATCACGGTAGAAAATGGCTTAGTACTTGGAATATTGTTGATTAATTGGTTGTGATTAAAGAAAAGATTATAATAATAACAATAATAATAATAGTTTTTAGAAGGTTAAATTTAATTTATTTGTAGATTATTATAGACAATAAAATATGTATAGTAATTTTAATTATTTAATATTAAAATGAGTTGTTTTTATTATAAAAAAAGCATATTATTTTTATTTTTTATTATAAAGTTTTATATAGTAAATAGAAAAAATTTTCCGGAAATTATTTAAATGACTTCTTATATATAATGTGGGAAAGAAAAAATAAAACATAATTAATATATATATGATACAAAAAAAAAAAAATTATTAAGAAAGCTTTATAAATTAATAATATATTTAATATATTTAAAAATATAATTATTAGAAAAAAAAAATTCATAAATAATTAAAGAAAATCTATAATGTCCTTTTTATTAAGAAATCCAATATATATATATATTAAAAAATTTAAAATAGCATACAATACTATGTTACGCGAAATGTGTGATGAGAAGGAAACGTCCGTGCAGATTCATAAGATGTTGGATATACTTTTATTGGAATAAAACAATCAAAGGTTTCCACCCTAACATCCTCAACAGCTTGATAATAATGATGCCGTTCATCGGCAGTTAAAGTTACCAATGGAACATGACCCTTCGGACCAGTAATGAATTCTAGTCTTATACCCCATTGAAGTTTCACTAGATTAAAAAAAAATTTTATTTAGTAAATTTAATAATAATTAATATGAGGACAGTAAAAAATTAATTTTAGATATATATATATATATATATATATACATACCTCCTGTTGTAGAAAAATCGGGGGTGGCATGCGTTGGGATGGAAATGGAAAAGCTGATCCTCTCTGAATTAAGACAAAACTCATGATGTTCTCCATGTACTTTACGCGTTTGACGTGAAATCTGATTTTGTGGACGTTTAGCAATAGATGATTCCACTATTTCACTATTTTCCAGAGTAATTGATACCTATATTATTATAATAATAATAATATTATTATTATTGTTATTGTGATCAAAATTACTAGATAATAATAATAGTCTTATTGATTTGACAGAAACTATACCTGAAAACTTGGTATAACAGCGTCATTGAAATTTACAATTCCAGTGACAATATCACCTAATCGATAAGATGTTTTCAAAAGGCACAATTGTGCAACTCTTTGATTATTTTTACAAATGTCATAATTCGCTAATTGTTAATTATTAATTAATAAAAATATTTAATTAGTTTTTTATTTATTTTAGCCAATTAGAAAATCCATTTCCCTACACAAATAATATGAATTTAATACTTTTTCTCATATTTTTTGACAAAATTGATGTGGTGTTTGCTACTGGTGTCTCGGATTTTTCAACAAATACATAATTATCACTATCATTCCTACCATTCCTACTACTATTGCTTTCCGTCTCTTCCTCATCTTTATCCGTTGATTGATCATCTTTATTCATGTTTTGGACAAGTTTTTTAATATAATCCATAAATTCTTCACGTTTATCATCTACAAAAAAAAGAGATTTTAAAAAATAATCAATATTTATTATAGTATAATAACTTTGTCTAAAAAAGATACCTAGGCAAGAGAATTTTGACCTCTTTTTTTAACTAATTTTGGCTTTGGCATATCCTCCTTAAATGTTATCACTGCTTCATCTTTGTATATAACTACAGGGTTCATCAGATCATAAACAGGCCTCGAACCATCCTCTTTTATCAATAGAAAAGATGACTAAATTTAGTAAAATAACCATGTGAACAAATAAAAAATTTTGATTATAAAACAATTAATTACTCACCAGACACATAATTAAATACTCTAAATGGTAGCTGCACTATGTGTGATTGATGATTCATTACTCCCCGATGAGTTCCAATTATTAAATTATAATAGAATTTTATTGCTTTGCCTCGATGTGTAGGAGGTAGATCATTTGGTAGCCTTGATTCATATGTGTCTAACCATTAAAATTCGAATTTGTCAGGCATTAAGAAATAAAAACGGTTATTATGATTAAGACTATTGTTATTATTAAAATATTACAAGTTTGTGATTCTCCAGGTGCCAAGTGTAAATCACAGAATAGTATTGAAGGTGGTGTTGAAAATACAGGAATAGATTTGCTATCTAAAAAAAAAATTCTTTAATACACAATAATAATATATATATATATATATATATGAATAAACAAATATAATATATAATTAATACCAGCTCTTTCTTGAAGATCAGCCAAACTCGATTGATTCATCGAGTTTGGTGAAAATATTCCCAATGTTCCACCACCAACTGCTCCACCTGCTCCATTTCCACTAGCTGGTCGATACATTGTTTTTGTTTTCAATGGTTCAAACTCGATAGATTTAATCAATGAAGCATCTACAGTAAATTGTCCTACAATCTGAGCAAATCCCCACAGTAATGTTTCATATTTTTGAGTTAAGGAAGGTGATGAACTGCATCTAAATCCATTCGAGGAATGTCTGCTGATATTGTATTTTTTATAATCTATTAGTGATCCATTCCAAGTACCGCTACCTCTATCTGAATAGCCAATACCATAAAAATCAACTGAGCTTCTTGGCGTTGATTCAGTTGTGTCATAATCACTAATGGAAATGGTATCACTAATGTCCGCTTTATGCAAATTAATCAATCCACCTTCTTCATCTATTTCTGCATCTGCAAAATGAAATGATTCCGTCAAGGGTGTGGCGACCTTGTCTTATTTATATTACCAATTAGTTAGAAAAATCCATTCAAATATTAAACAAAAATAATAAGAATAATAACAGATATGTTTACCGTTATTTTCATTTGTGTCAGAGTTGGAATTTTCTTCACTGTTCACTGTTTTTGTCTCAGATTTTATTGTATTTGAAGTTTCAGCAATAGTCGCATTAGTAGTGGTAGAATTGGTGGTGGAGGTTGGGAGGTTGGCGAAAGGATTATTGATGGAAATTTGTGAATTAACGTTATTTCCTGCTAATAATTAAAAAGTTGAAGATGCAATTTGCCAATCAATGAAGCTGATCTTTTTTTTCTAAACTTTTATCTGAAGATTTCAATTCTTTAACAGGTCTCGAAAAATATCGAAAAATTTTTAGTATTCATACCGTGAGTTTTATCTTCTGTTGTAACTCTTCCTGAATAACTGTAAGGACATGTGAATGTGATCTCACAACGAAATCTTTCACCTGCAAAAAACACTGCATTCTGAGGAATTTTAGTAGTCACAATAACTGACATGTTTTGTTTTATTAAAATATGTATATATAAATCTATTTCTTAAATCTCGTCAATTAGTAAAATTATTTATTCTTCTTGTTATTATTAACTCCATCAAAGTTAATAATTTTTAATAAAGATCATCAGAAATTTTTAAAAAAGAAAATTTCTGGTACAACATTATTCAATGTTACAAATATAAAAAAGCTCATTCATCCGAGCAAGAGCATTATTTTCATTATTAGTTTCAGTAGCATGGGTAATAGACAACCATCTTGTGCATAAAACAATGTTTGATGGACTAGTTATTTCTTGAATCTGCGAGTATCATAATGTTAAAAAAAATAAAAGCTATAGATCAAGAATTTATTTATAATGTCATAAAGAGCAACCTCCCAAAAGGGATGTAAAAATGAATCAAAACCAAGCCCAAGTAAGCATATCAATATTTTCTAGTTTTTATTTTATTTTTATTTTTATTTTGTAAACTAGAATGTAATTTATGAATAGATGGTCTACAAAGACATGAAACTCAAAAACATAAAGAGTATGGATGAATTAATAGATATTTATCAATAAGATTTATACATTCTTGAAGGATTTAACAAGGTAGTTATTGTTAAATTAATAGTTTTGTATAATATATTTGTTTATATATATCTATTTCTTACTATTA